TTAAATGATAGAGACAAATTATATATATATATATATATATATATATATATATATATATATATATCGGGGCTGGTTCAAATACTAACTCAAACTATTGTGCAAACTATGTTAACCGATCTTGATCGTTCATTTTCTCATCAAACGGTCCTTATTAAATGAAACTACAAAAATAATCATTTAATTAATGTATTAAATGAGATGTCTATGAACAACTGTTCAAAGGGTAATTTTGTAAAAAAATCGCATCACATCGTGAACCTATATTATTCAGATGATTTCGTAACCTTCAATCAACTACGAAACTGCTAATCTATACGATCAATAGTGTATATCATTAGCAAAAAATCTGGTTCATAATATTCATCAAAACGATGGATGATTTTGACGAAATGCATACAAGTTTGGATGTGTGAACCTCATGAACATTACACACATGCAACACTTCACAAATACATACAAGTTTGGATTTGTGAAACTAATGAACATCAGCAATCTGACATAAAACAGTAACGAATCCCAATGTCTACGTCTATGTTATTTGTGCTGATTTGATATCTGTTAATATATGTGTGTCTGTGCACAAATGTCTTAATGCATCCTAGTATGAAAAATGTAATCGCTATGTGTGTGTGATCAAGTAATATAGCATAGTGAACATAATGAACAGTCCCTATATAAGCATGATATGATTTGTGCTATATGACATAAAACAGTAACAAAACTAAAACTATTATTACACAAAGTAGATAATTAAAAAGAGCAACAAGGATGTGAATTTACTAAAATTGAAAACTTAGTGAAGAATGTATATTGTTTGCCATYCCGAAGTCAAATCTTTAATGAACATAATGAACAACCCCTATGTAGTTAGTCTTCAAAACTAAAACTATTATTACACAAATTAGAAAATTAAAAAGAGCAACAAGGATGTGGATTTACTGAAATTCAAAACTTAGTGAAGAATGTATATTGTTTGTCATCCCGAACTCAWATMTTTAATGTAGGCGTGTTCACATTAGCGTGTTCATAGCTATCGTATGTTCATATTGGGACACTTATTGATTATTTTCTTCACTTTCGGAATTCGAATTCCGAATGTAACTTATTGATTATTTTCTTCACTTTCGGAATTCGAATTCCGAATGTATTCGTAGACGCTTTTAACTTTTTCATTCTCATTATCGTCGATCTGTTTTTACTCTATGATTATTCATATTACTTGGACTATAACAGAATCTTTATAAAAGAGACTTTTTTCAAATTTACAATATCAAAACCATTATAGGAAGAATAACTGTAAAATTCAGTAAGATGATCACATGTGAAACTTAATGTCATTATTACATGAAGATCAATTAGTGATATTTTAAGATTTGTAATTCCCATTTAAAATATTTGGGAGTTACATAAGAATGATAAATTACCTAAATACCCTTACAATTTAATATGTGAGTTACATTTGAACCTAACTAAAAGATGGAACATGATTGGTTGATGTTGGTTAGCATAGTTTGCACAATAGTTTTGGTTAGTATTTGAACCAACCTCTCTCTCTCTCTCTATATATATATATATATATAGTAAAAGAACAACCAATAATGACAATGTGAATTCATATATCAAAGGTAATATTGATTCTTATTGATTTTATATATAAAGTAGTGTTTGGGATTGTTTATTTGAAACAACTTATGTTTTTCTATAAAAGTATTTATCAACTTATTATAAGTTAGATTGATTTAACTTCTTCAAAAACTTCTTATTACCGGTTTGACACCGACATAAACTGTTTATCCAAACACTCTAAAGTGCTTATTACCGGTGTCACACCAGAATAAGTCAATAAGTTGTTTTTATAAGCAATCCCAAACACCCCCTAAATGTGATCATCGACTCATTTAACTAATTTCAATAATTTTTAAAAAAAATTATTGCAATGTCAAACACTAGTTTCTTTAAAACATAGAACCAAAAATTAAGATCTATAAAAAGAATTACATTCATCTTCAACAGATTCCTCATTTTAAATAATTCATTATCTATTGAAATATTATTTATCTTTTTAACAATATTTATTTCCAAAGTTTTATGTCGATGGTCTCGTCTTTTAATCATTTTTAGAGTGTTGTCCGTATTTAGAGAAAATATTTTTCTGCATTTTAGAAAAGGTGTTAAAGCAAAATATTGACTCATATTCTCTATTTTTTCCATTTTAAATAATCGAAGATGTTGTAATAAAAGTGAAATAGAATAACATCCACAATTATTAAAAATGTAATCTTTTAAAAATAAGACTACAATTCAGAAACAAAAATGTAACTTGCTTCAAAGAAATGTATGGAGCCAGGCGAATCCTAACACACAATGGGGATGAACTGGTGGTGTTTTGCTGGTCCGTCAGTTGGTCCCGGCCCGAATACTTTTCAAGAACAACGAAGATAGCTTACGCTATAACAACTTGTACATTTTTCATCATGAGTTGTACATTATTCGCTGGCCGACCTCAATTATATCACCATTTTCATAAAAATCTTGTAGAGACACAGATCGGAATTGGCGCCCCTTTTCTTCCGCACTGTTGTTTCTCAATCTCTCTCTCTCACCCATCTCTCTAGGTTTGAAATCTTGTTTGGTACAGGTGTTTCGCGATGTCTTTGCGTAGAAGAACTTTGCTCAAAGTCATCGTTCTTGGCGACAGTGGGTATGTATGATTTAGGGTTCGATTTGAAGCTCGTTTTTGTTTTGATGATTTTGACTTTGATTTTTTATGTGATGTGCTTTCAGGGTTGGTAAGACGTCATTGATGAATCAGTATCCTAGTCATTTTTGTGTTCTATATGTCTCTACTGCATCGTTTGGTTTCTGTTACTTTTTCAATTTGTGTATACAGTTGAGTATCTGAATCTGCTTATGTAGTTGAAGTTCTGAATCTGTATGTGTATGTGGATTTTTTTAAACTTGTGATGGAATTGGTGCCGAGTTACTTTTCCTTTCTTATTTTATTTTCAATTTCGTTCTTTATTTGTTGAACGGAATATCTTGCTTTATTAAAATGTAGTTTTAGAAGGTAGGGCTCAAAGAGGTGGGGACGTCTCGTTCCCATGAAAGTTGGAAGAATTTTTATGGTGACTTGTTATGCTAAAATTCCAATGATGCCTCTTTTTGGGGCAAATTTACAGGTTATAGATACTTATTTGTTCATTGTATTTTTACAACTTCTTAATGCCATTGATTTTGGTTGGAAGATTGTCATAGTTGTTATTATTAGAGGATGTTTTAGACATTAATTAAAACTCATAACAACTTTATGCATCATGTATTCTGTCAAATCAACTCAAGTTTTATGAAATGGTGGGAGTACATTTTTTCTGTTGCCTGTTAGCTTTGAATGTGGATTATTGAGCATCGACTAGGGTTGCCAAAGATTCTTGGATGCCAAGTTCGTTACTATAGAAAATTAGAGTGGTACCAAAGAACCAATTAAAATATTGTATAAGTTAGTAGTTGCACCCTCCAATCCAAGTTATGTTACTTCTAGATAAAAGGGTCTACTATGGCAGCAACTAGACTGAGCTTTAAACTTCATAACAAATAGTGGAATTTGAAAAATGACTTTATTCAATTTGTAACAAAAGTGTTATGAGTTTAAACTTGAAAACAAGTAGATTTGACCAACATTTCTCCTTTTGTGGAATGACAGTGCTTATAAGTTTTAACAAATAGGAATGACAGTGCTGAACTGTTGCTCTCCTACAACCCAAGGATACGGTTTGCCTAAGTCTTCTTCAAGTTCTTGGACTCCATAACCTGTTGGGTGGAACCTCAAATACTTGGCAATCTGTTTTATTTCCTTCTTCCTTCTGTTATTTGATTACCCTTGATGAGCAGGTATTGGAAATTGCTGGACAATAATATTGTACACGTACATCTATTGGTTATTGTTATTTTTTTAACTGCTTTTAAGATATGTACATAAGAAATTCAGTCAGCAATATAAAGCTACAATTGGAGCAGATTTTGTCACCAAAGAACTGCAGATAGATGACAGGCTTGTAACTTTACAAGTGAGTTTGGTTCCTGTGTAAATAATTGATATTTATCCAGTATGTGATTCTTGTTGATTATAGACATGATTTTGTTGACTGGTCATAAAATTTCATTTGCAAGATATGGGACACTGCTGGACAGGAGAGGTTTCAAAGTCTTGGTGTTGCATTTTATCGTGGAGCAGATTGCTGTGTTCTAGTGTATGATGTAAATGTGATGCGATCTTTCGACACGCTTGATACCTGGCATGAGGAATTTCTCAAGCAGGTATGTATGTGATTTTGTATTAGTATTAGTATCGGTTTTTTTTCCATGAACCTTGCTTAGGTGATAACCGTTTAACAGGAACTATGAGTTTGTATATTGCATTCAACATTATCCTGCTCTTCTTCATGGTCCTTTGTGGGCTATGCTGTTTTGTTGCTGAGTCATCAAGTGTACTACAATATGAACGTGTTATACTTGATGTTTGAAGTCTATATGTCAAGAAAACCACATTGCAATTGGTTAACTTTTCTTGTTAACTATTGTCTCCAACCTCTTGCCAGTTGGGTCCATTGGGTTTGAGTTGACTTACAATTGGTCCATGACAAGACATTAAGCTTGAAACTACTATACAATGTCAACATGTTAAGTTTGAAATTCAACCCATTAATTTGGGATTTGACAACATATGATATTTTGGAATTCGGTGGTGTTACTCTTCAAAAAAATTTGTGTTCATAAAAAGGAATTTTACTATGAGCTATGACAACATCAGCATGTTAAGTGTTTAGATGTTTCAGTCTTTTTCCTATATACCACTGATGGGTACATAAAACTAAGAACTTTAAATGGTAGTTTTCAGTTTTGTTACAAAACTGAAATTATTGTCTAACCAAATCAAATTCTCTCCCCGAAATGCGTTGAGGCGCAAATGGCAGTTCCTGCTCCTTTGGAGGTACCAAATAAATGATTTCAGATCTCAATTAAAAGTTCTTAGATGGAGCTGCTTCATGTTTTTTAGCCCCTTTTTCTATATTCCTGATTATTGATCAAKAAGCCTCTATCTTATAGTGGACAATGTGTGTTTCTAGAACGACAAGGCTGGCTTATGTGTGCCAAATGTTTGTTAAGCACCTTACTTGTAGGAAAATTATATATTTGAATATGTATCTCCTTTGCAGTTCATTTCATCAAAGCTAATCAAACTTAGTAGTTAACTGTTTCTGTTCTTGAGAACTCTCTTGCTTGTGTTGTAAATGCAGAAATTTTGACCATTGGATTGTGGAAGAATGAATTCTACAAATTTTATGTTAATTTAAACCAAGGAAAAGAATCATGTTCATACTAGAGGAAATTGGTGCCATAGCTCAATAAGGAGGCTGATATTTTGTGTTCACTTGATTAGATTGGGAAATGACAAGTGAAAGTCAAACCTACCACCAGCTCCATTCTATCTTTTTTTAAGATGAGAGAATGACAAAGAAATTCAATGGGCTTTCACCTTTTAACCCATAACCTTATGGAACAAGAAACTTGGACAATCCTCATTTTTTATCCTGATTTTTCTCTTTTTTTCTGATTTATTTACTATTGACATGGAAAACAAAAATGACAGAAATTTTATCGAACTTCCACTTTGCCACCCATTACACCCTCAAATGGCTTTCCAGCTTAGTGCTTACATCCTAAAAGCACTGAACAATACTTTATCAAGTAGTTTTCTTGGTGAAGGGAGAGGCAGAGATCCCGTTAATGGATGTCAAAGATTAGTAGGTTTTTCTTGAATGAGAGTCAAGCTACTTTTTTGAGGTTACAGATGTGAAATATGTAGCAAATGCGTTTGATCAACTCTGATGGAAGCTAAGAGTGGCTTGTGCTGAAAACATTCACTGGATACTAATTCTTTGTAGTGTTTTCAGGCAAATCCATCAGACCCCAGTACTTTTCCTTTCATATTGCTTGGCAACAAAATTGATATAGATGGTGGAAATAGCCGAGTGGTAAGGTCTCGGTATGCTCATTCTGTTTTCAACTTTTGTTGCTTCTTGCAATTTACTGAAAGTATCTGATTTAGGTTTCTGAGAAGAAGGCAAGGGAATGGTGTGCTGCAAAAGGGAATATACCTTACTTTGAGACATCTGCAAAGGAAGACCATAATGTGGATGCTTCATTCCTCTCTATTGCCAGAACTGCAATGGCAAACGAGCATGAACAGGATATGTAAGTGCACATAAAAAGCAATACATATTTACAAGTTGCTGCTTGTTTCGATTTGTCTTTTTGTCAGATTTGGTGATGCATATGTTAATAAATTTAAGGCTATCATATTGGTCAAGACTAGTCTGGTTGATTCTTTAATTGTGTAGGTTGGGAACATTGCGCTTTATGGCTTATAAAGTGCTTGGGTTTTTTTAATGGAAGTGTTAGAACTAGAAGCTGTGATTTACAGTTAGTGGAAACTATGAAAAAGGAATATGAGAGAAAGTTACAACTCAGAATGACACCTTTTGATATCAACCTTGTAAAATGGGGAGACATGCTAAATTATTGAAACCGTAGCATACATTAATTGGAAAAAAATATGAAAAAGGAGCAGGCCAGGGGGGTGGGTCTGTTGGTATTGAGCTGGGAACAATGTGGGGTTGTGGCGTTCCTGTTTGATTAATAACTTAGTCTTAAGAACTAGTTTTTACCTGGTTAAATAAATTGACAGAACGTGTTTAACCTGTTCTGCTTATGTCGTTGACATGGAGTTATGTGTGTTAGAGGCAAAGTTTCTAATGATTTTATTCAGCCAAGTTTATAGTTGTAAATGGTTTGTAAAACAAGTAAAATCTAGGGTGAAGAGCTGATCTTCTAACCAACTTGTCCTCGACAAGATGACTTCTAGGTTGAAAGATTTTAGTAATTGCACACGTAGTTGTTCTCTTCCTTGCCACTGATGTAGTTGCGCTACTTGGTAATTATATACTTGTTGAATGTGAAAACTGCACCAAGCATCTGCTAGTGTGATTTATAACATCTTCAAATAGCAAATGAATACAAAAACATATGGAAGCAACAAAAATAGTACATTGTGGAGCCTTACAGGGGCCCTGCACCTCCATCATGCCCATCTTCAATTTTGCATATAGAGTGCACTGCATGTTTTTTGTCGAGCTGTATTACTCATAAGTCATAACATGTCTGATATTCTAAAGTTTCACTCAACCCTAATCATTTGTCAAAGTTATTTCACCATGCACCGTTATATATGTAACAATATAGATGTCTTTAACTACAAAGTAATGTTTATGGGTGTTTCATGTCTTAGAAAGCGATCAACATACATTTGTTACTCCGTCCTAGAAGAGTTGCAAAAACGTTTCCCTTATGAGATGTTTCACACGAATTGTAATGTTTTCTTTTGGGGAAACATTCAGGATAAAATATTACTCCCTCCATCTAAAAATAAGTGTCCGCATTTATATTTTAGTTTGTCTAAAAATAGGTATCCACTTTCAAAAGTGTTAACTTTCCAATTCTACCCTTAGTTTGTAACACCCTTAATTTTTTAAAAATACGACTAGCAAGAACCTTCAAGGATCAATAAGTAAATAAGCGGCTTAAAACCCATAAAAGGGAAAGTACGGACAAAAATTATCAACAACAATAGGATTGAAGTGAACAACCTACTAATCAAATTCTAGATTGAACTCGATTACAACCGGGTGTTACTAATCCTCAAATGTTCAACCTTGACTCTCTCAAGGTGTCCCCGAAAATGACGTTTTCCCTCGATGCTTCTAAACTACACCAACGTCCTCGAACCGCTCTAGATCCGCCACTAGTGGACCGGACATACATGTCATTTAAAAAAGTGTTGGGCTTTAGCCTAGTGATTTCAGACAATTAAATTGAAGCGATAAACCAATATATATATCAATATGAATACAAATGATTTTACCTGACATTGGTAACAATTGCTCGAAGGGATATACCGCTAAAATAAGATGGGTTAAAAACTATATCAAATATAATCACCCAACAAAGGGGAAATAGGGAGAGATAGTTTATTACATTAAAGAATGGACAGTAGCTAACAATCTACTAATCTAAACCAATTCTAGATTTGGATTACAACCGGGTGTCGCTACAATCTTCAAAAGAATACTACCAATAGTAACTCCACAAGTGTCCTCCAAATGACGATAACTCAAAAGCGATCATCACTCAACTCAAGCATTAGGAGCCCCACCGCTAAGAGCCCCTAGTATACATGCCATTTTAAGAAAAAGTGTTAGGCTTAATGCCTAGTGAGTCGAAACAGTTATAGAATAAAGCTATAAGATATTAAAACTGAAAACATAGCTTTAATCAAGTCATTCATCCATTTAAATCAAATTCACCCTTGGAAGGGCATAAAGCATCTTACGATGACGGGAGAGACCCGATTTACCATTGACTGTGACGAAACACAAAAGTAAGCCACATATCGATGTTATATAAGCATCACTTACGGATTAACAATCATTAAGATCAACCACTCCAGGTCTATAGTTTAATGAGTTAACAAGCTCAACTAGTCCAAGTCTATTGCTTGTGGAGTCACCAAGTTCAACTACACTAAGTCTATACCTTGAGATCTCTAAAATCCAATTTTAGCTCGTTCACTTAGAAATTACATTATATTGGTCAATGACTGATGCCCGACTACAAGAGCCCACACCATATTGCCTATGTAGGCCCAATGCCTATTTCAAGTTACAATTAGGGAGTATCACCCCATACATATGGATCCATTGCATTATAGTCTAATATATATAATTCTTCTAGATATGCAAAACCATATCCAAAACATAGACATTTATCCAACAATCATCAACTCCCCATTTTAGCAACAAAATCCAAGATATGATATTTCATAAATTTGGTTTCCAAAACTCGTCAAACTTTAAAATAATTATCTCCCATGTATATAAAATCATTCCTCACACTTATTTTACCAAAAGCATAAAGCCCCAAAAATCTCAAATTTGACCTAGTTGGTCCAAAATCAACCAAATGTGAAATACTTGAAATAAAAGCTTTAAGGAACAAAAATACAACATTTTAACATGTATATGGTTTTATAAAAGTGTAGGATGAACTCACAATACTAAGTTTTGGTGAAAACCTAGAAAATCAAGAAAACACTTGGAGATTGAAGGTAAGAGCTTGAATCTTTGATCCTAGCCTTGAATCTCTACCTTAGATGATGAACCAAACCTTCAATGATGGTGAATAACCTCCTTTAATGCTCCTCAAATCGAAATAAATGAGAGGGAAGAGAAGAAATTCGGAGGAGAAGGAAAGTAGGTGAGGAGTAAATGAGAAACCCTTGGAAAAAAGTCAAATATCGATCTGCACGGTGGCCGTGACCTAGCCCGCGACCATAGTCACGTGGCTAATCGCCCGTCCCAAAATGCTCCGGAATCCAGTGAGTTACAGCCGCGACCTTGATCGCATGACTAGCTGCGTGGGATTCTGCCAATGCTCAAAACTTTGAATTTTTTGTCAAACTTTAAGTGTCAATATATGGTCATTAATGGTACATAGACATGATATTTTACGTGCCAAAGTGTTCAAATGACCCACAAACGAAGGTTCTGAATTCGAAGGTGTTACAATATAATCTCCCAAAATGGTTAACCTGTCAGTTTATACACAGCATCTTTTGATGATGGGGGACCCGTTTCCATTAGATGTGGCAGGAACACAAGAGTATTGCCACATATCAACGTTCGTAGGAATTACACCTCAAATTCTATAGCTTTAGTGCACACTCAATACAGTATCACCTGAATCCTTCACACTTATGGTGTCAATTCCAAGGAGTTTCACCTCAAGGCTAGTGAACTTGATACAAATTTTTTCTTCTCACCAAACTCTGTATTTTTAACGGCATAAGGGGGAGAATGGTTGGCCGGTGGCCATTGGAAACTGTCACCACCGTTGCTGCTGCCACCGCTACCACCACCGTTGTTGCGAGGACTGTTACCACCACGGCACCACCAACATCAGTCATTGATGTCAATCATTGGAATCAAGTCCAATTTTATTTTTTTCCACCTTGAGGACAAGGTGGAAGTTTGGGGCGGGTATAGTTATGCCTAGGGTATTTTAGTAAATAAGTCAAACATATTAGACTATGGTACAGGGGTACATGCTTTAGGTAGTATAAATAAAGGGAGCGGGCGGTTAGAAGGGTATCGATCAGTTTGTCAAGTATGTTTTGGGCGAGAGCCTTGGGAGTGAATCTGGCCTCTCGAAAACTAGAAACCATATTGGAAACATTTAGTTGATGTCTATATAGTTCTATATTCCCCAAATTAGTCTGGTGTTCATCGGTTTTTTATATTATTGTTTCAAATTATTTTTTTGATGAACCCAGGTCCCTTAGATTTTAGGTCAATTGTTTCAAAAAAAATTTTGATGAACCCAGATCCCTTAGATTTTAGGCGAAAACTTTAGGGGCAGTTTTCAACATCCCAACTGTTTTGCCATATGGTCGAACTTTGTGACAGTAAACACATGAAAGAATGGCTTAAATTATAACACTTTTTAAACCATCCAAGAGTGCATTTAATTGCTAGGATTAAACTATCCTTAGAGTTTTCTTCAAAACACTAAGAAGATCCAGCAAAATAGAATTGAGAAAAGGGAATTGGAAATTAGGGGTGGTAAGAAGGAAATCGCTGGAGGAACATATGAAAACGAGCATGATGACATCTACCTGTACGAGGATGTCTTGTTGCCTGGTTGGTAGAGAGGATGGATTGCCTAGTAGGAGGAAAGCATGCGGCTCATATGCTTTTGGTATGACCTACACTGTTATCTTGGTGGCTGGGGCATTTGCATATCACGAGCTTATTTAACTTCATCATCTACAATTTGCGATAAGTTTATGTATAAATGTGAATTAGGATTATTACAATTTCTCTACAATTGCTTTCTATCATTCTATGATCATTTTGTTATGAAATACATCTACAATCTGTGGATATCGGTTTAGAACAGTGATGATACCAAACCATTTTGCAGCTCACTCTGCTGCTACATGTATTTGGCATCCATTTGTGGTCGTGTAATTGAATTAATCACTAGCATTTGCTTTCAAAGGTGAAAATATAAAAATAGACTCGTAGGAGTTCCCATATGTTTTACTAGTCTAGTATCAACGCTATTTTAATCTCAATATCGTTATAATGTAAACATTGAAATCAAAAGTTACCTGTAGGTTCTGTATCACTTTGAAACTTGGGATCTGATTTACACAAAAATGTAGTACTAGTTTGGACAAATGCATGACAACCTGCAAATTTTACCATAAACATCAGCCCTTTTTACTTTCAGTGAATAATGGTGTGGTAAATTCACTATTTTTTGTGATGACAGCTCTCCTAAAAATATAATTGATGAGTCCGATGGTGACTCCGATAATTGTTGTATATTTACTCAAAAAACTACTTTAACCTATTATGATTTCTGATTTTTTACTGCGGCTATAATTTTACTTGAACTATAATCGAACGTTTTCCATGCCACCCTCATATAATGTAGATTTCTCTCTGGGTTAAGGGCTAAACTCAAATATCTCCTAGGTGGCGTTTGGTTCGTTGGATTTTTTTTGGAAGGGTGTTCTAGGAATAGACTGGACTAATCCCGGAAAATTGTGTCCTGAAAAAATCATCTCTGATAAACTCGGTGGCTAAATTGTTATGTATGCCTGGATTCGAACCCTAGGAAGATGGGATATTCCACCACATCCCCCAGGATCTCAACCACTATGCCACAACCTTTGTGGTTTGGTTGGTTGGAACTTAATAGAAGTAGAATGGTGAAATCATTCGGCCAAATTCCATTCAACCATTTGGTTCACTTAGGCTACCTTTGGTACATAGGACTGGACAAGACCTCGCTGTTCCATGTTTGGCACGACATGATACAGGAGAAAAACTTACTGATCCATGTTTGGCGTGACATTCGGACCGGGACCGGACCAAATCTAGGATTGACTGGCACAAAAGAGGCCTCTTTTTGTGACAAAATCACAAAGATGGGACAAAATGTATCAAATAGACTTGAAATCCATAAATCAAGGAATCCTTCATTCCTTCCATGTACCCAAGTGTAACACCCCACATTCCACATTTGCATATAATCATGTATTTCATACATCAGGAAATACAAATAGACATCTTCGGTCCCAATAGTACAAGAAGCTATATTACAGAATTTACCAAAAAATTCCAAAAATAACATTCTTGTACATAACTGGTATAGAAACCAGTATTCCAAAAGTCCATCTGATAATATACTGATCTTCATATATCAAATAAGCATAACAAGAAAATTCACATTTTCCCCGTCCCCTTATCCCTTGGCAAGGCCTGACTTGCAATGCACATTTTTAAAATACAAAATGAGGGTTAGACCTTGAGGTCTAGTGAGAAATCCCCTTTATTTACAATTACAGGGTGAATCACCAAAACCTGTTATGAAATCATATTTGAAATTTCACAAACATCCAACAACTTTTGTAAAATATAACTCAAATGTCACAAACATAACGCGAGTTATTAAATCATTACTTACCACATAAGAAATACAACCACTCAGGCTCTCATAATCAATTGACACGAAATTCCCAAAGCTCTTATGACTCATAAAGATTAGAGCTTATAATCTCAACTATACAAAGAAATACGTTCAACCAGAGTTCTTGGTTACTAACTAAAGCTTTTAAAATAGGAACTGTTTTCAAAAGAAATTGGGTTTTGATAATAACCAAGGACCCTCTGGGTTCTTTATCAAATCTTTACTCATTTGAACAATTAAAATGTAATATCCGATATCACAAAAACATTTGTTTATTCGAAACACGGGCAATTAATGCCTCTGACTATAAGCCATTTTCCCCTTTCTCAATAACATCATTGTTATCATCTTAATAAGAGCATTAATTCCAAGTCTTCATATCACAAAGAAATGTTAACCTTGAATTATCGCATCTTATGGATGTGACAACAAGAGTTATAAATGTAACACAGATCTCACAATTGCCACCCTTATCCTAAGGTACACCACTCCTTGATATGTCATCCTTATGCCATGATACGCCTCTCCTTGATATGTCACTCTTATTTTCTCATAAAATGTAATCAAAATCTGATAATCTAGCCAAGAATGGCATTAAAATAGTTTCCTCACAGGAACTTTATATCAAGAACTTTCGTAGTTCTAAACCTAGTTCCAATGTCATCTGAAAACAACTTTCAAAAACAGTTTACCTTTTTCAATAGTTTTTTGAAAGAGACATAATGGGTGATAACAACCCTTATCGGACAACACTTAACCGATGACTGCCCTTCATCGGACAGCACGTGGGCGTTGAACTGCCCTCATCGGTCCACACTATGGCCGATAACATCCTCATCGGTCAACACTATGACCAATAAGCATTCTCATTGGTCAATACTAAGACCGATAAACATCGTCAACGGTCAACACTATGACCAATAACTATCCTCGTCGGTCAACACTTGGGCAATGAAATTCCCAATCCGGACAACACTTGGGCGTTAAAACACCCTTACCGGACAACACTTGGGCGATGAACACCCAATCCGGACAAGACTTTGAATCACCCTCATCGGACAACATTTAAACAATAAACATTCAATCCGGTTAATGCCCTATCCGATAAAGGTCTGGACAAAGCTTTGTCCGATGAAGGTCCTTATCGGACAACACTAAAAAAAATGATAAGTGTCCTCATCGGACAACATATGTGCGATAAGAATCCTTCATCGGACAACACAATGTCCGATAAGAGTCCTCATCGGACCATGTATTTGAATAATATGATATATACATACAACAGTTCTGATCTTAACTATTATCATGTAGAACAATATATACTATCAAAAGCATCATATTCAGATTCAAAACCTTTTATAAAACTCACCTTATATGCAAGGAATCAGTTCATGTTCTTAGCAAATTCACACAGCAAAAGATCCAAAAATATGATCACAAAGTCACTTCACAGTTTTTCTCCACACAAATTTCTCTCCTCACTTTTCTTTCCAAAAATGGCAACTAAATGCCTTCTGAAAAGTTTTCCACCTTAAATACTTTCCAGAACAGGCGGTGGGTTTATTATTTAAAACTCCCCACCCCTTTTCACAGACAAATATACATATACACATATATGTATCATGGATTTTAATAAACAAATAATCTTTTTAACCAAATAATCACATACCAATAATTACCTAAAATCATATAATGGAACCCGGTTATCTGACCGAGGTATTTAATTCCATCGAGAATAAAAAGACTAGCTCTACCTTACCACCACCTCCATCTGCCACCACCACTGTCTACCACCACCAACACTGCTGCTGCTGCTGCTGACCACTACCACCACCTACCACCCATCATCACGCCAAAAAACCATAAAAAGGGTATTTTGGTCGGTTATCATTTTTTTCATTCCAATTCTGAAGCTACGTCCCTGTGAACCAAACAGACATATTACAACGCATTTGACAGATTCATTCTAATTCTTGCAAACCAAACACATGATTAAATTCTTTATAGATTCAATTCCAATTCCATGAGATTCCAATTTTCTTGAGCATTCCATCCAAAAACATTCTGCCAAGCAAACGCCCCCTAGGGTTTGTATGATCGTGGGTTACCGTTCTTGCATGATGAGAATCCTAGGAATTTAGGTCGGGGAGATTATAACATCTTGCTGTATATCTTTCAATTCTGTAGCTCATGATAGCGGGCCAACAATAATTTCTGGTCATAGCAGTTTATTTAGAAGTAATTTTGCCAACTTGTTGCTTTTGTGTTTGGGACATCACAAGTAGTGCGTGTTTAAAAAACAAATTGGCTGATGGTGCTATGGACGCAAAACCAGTTTGTTCTCTGTTATTTGTTTGTTTTGCAAGCCGAGGGTCTACACGGAAACAGTCACTTGGGGTGGGGAAAAGGTTTGCCTACATCCTACCCTCCCCAGACCCTACCTCTATGTGGAATATACATATACCGGCTTTGTTTGGTTTTGTTTGCTATGGACGCAAAATCAAGATGAGATGATGTATAATATCATGATAAATAACTTAAATCTTTTCGGATGTGGAACAGATATTTCCAGGGAGTCCCTGAGGCTGTACAAGAAACAGAGCAACGAGGTGGTTGTGCATGTTAATCATACGAAAGAATGAAAGGATTCATCTCATACTCGTTTGTTGGTGTGTTGCCACCCTTGGCATTTTTATACGTAAGGTGGCTCTCACGATTGGTAGGACAATTCTTGTGTTTTTTCTATCGTTGTTAAGTGATAGCGGTTTTTCCCCTTGTCGGAACGTGCATGGTTTTTGTGTATCAAACTTAATCGGAGTGTTGAATTTCTTGTGAAGGTTCTATTGAATTTTTGGGATGTTTTCATCAACTGTAAGCTACTGTTGCTGTTTCCATGGAAAATTATATGCATTTTGAGTTGGTTTGGAAATTGAAGAGCTGAATGATTTATTCAGCCCTTAAGTTGTGTATTGTCTTTGTTTAATTTTTGAGTAAGTGGTGGGAACTGCATGTGTCTGCTGTCCACGCTAAGCTTTTTTTGTTTTGGACGAATTTTAGGGGTTGTTCGGTAACGGCTTCATGGGTTGTATACATATGGCTTATTTGGTAAGACATGCATGTTCAAAAGTGGCTTAATGGATCAGAAAGTGGTTTATTCGTTCATTTTATAAGAGCATCTCCAAAATAGAGAATCAAAGCTCAGATCTCCAAAAAAAATTATATTCATGTGAACATCTTATCCCAAAAGTCACATATTTCCTTTCCCTTTTTCACATTCCGGATGTGACTGTCTTGAAATGCACATTTTTAAAAACAAAATAAGGGTTGGACTATAAGATCTAGCAAGGAAATCCCTCTTAGAACAATATCGCATAAATATTTAGAATTAAACTTTCAAAATTGTTAAACCATAATAGTTTTCAAATATGAACATCTAATTACATATAAGCTCGTTAAAACCGATTAACATCTCCGTTAATCGTCATTGGCCCAACTGGCTCAACACCTTTGTCGTATACACCGCTCCGTTATATACACCACGCTACACCATCACATACATCTCATCTATGCATACATCACTCCGTCTCATACACCTCACCAGTATATACACCACATTGTACGAACACGCGGTCAAACCGACCCAAACACCACATTTGTAATTTTCACAAGAACAATGCACTTTATCACATTCTCATATTTTTGTAACCAATAACACACTTTATCGTATCTACAATCATTTCATAACACGATTAATTTCAATTTCAATTAAAAGCTTTGCAAGAAAAACTCACCTGGATCACGATTATCCGTTAAACTCGTGATCGATAACGAAATCGGATACCGAACACAAGAATCTAAATCATATAAGCATGGATCACAATGTATGCAATTAAAACAACTCTTATGACACACTAGGAAACCTAAACAAAACATCGAAAAACCCCAAAACAACCCAAATGAAAAATGTAAAAATTGGCAAAATAATGCCTGGCGCGACTTGCCACACAACTTAAGTCGCGGCAAAAGTCGCGCGCAAGTCAAAGTTTCTTTTTCTACGATCTTGTTTCAAACCAGAAAGCCTGCACCAATTTCCCAATCAAAGTTTGACCATAAAAATGACCATAACACCACAACCCTTCTCCATATATGCACATAGAACACTTGAACACCCCTCATAAATGAAGATACCAACAAAACCCAAAACGACCAAGGTTGGAGAACTCTTACTAATCCATAGTGGAAAGAGCACAAAATTAAGCAAACTATGGATATTATTATTCATACCTGCAAAACAAAGAAAAGATGGTAACCAAGAATCCCTCAAAGCTTTTGTTTCTTCTTCTTCGTGCGAATTTTACCCACAAAATGTTTTTGACAAACAAAGTCGTGTCCCCTGGAATCATACAGAAGACGGGTTGTTTGGCGATTACTGGATGGTTTGGTGCAGAATGATTAAGAAGCTCTCATGATATAGTGAAAAATGTAATATAATTTTTTGGTAATTGTGTACAATGAAATTAGGGCTCTTAATGGTTAAGGGAGATTCAGGATACAAAATCATTCAGAGGATTTTAGAACCATTATGACGCAAACTTTTTTATTTTTTACCAAACAAGATTCACCTCTTAACGATTCAGAGGTTTGTCTCTTAATGGAACTATTAAGAGGTAAACAAACAACCCTAAATTCTATTTTTGATTCATCAGTTTGCTACTCACCATTTAAACATGAACCATTATGGAATATCACATAAACGGGGAAAAATCATCAATTCTTCGTTGACGATGAGGATAGAAATGTGATCATATTTCCCAACGGGATCGGAGATGGTGAATTCGAGGAGATTGTTTCATATGTGAGTTATGAACTAAATAAATCAGTAGTAAAAGAAGAAGCAAATGGTTCAAAGCTTTGTTAAAACAAAAACAAATGATCCTACAGAAAGATGCTATAACACCACTAAAGAGTTCTGTACTACCAAAAAATGGTGCTATAGGACTGCCATAGTTTTCAACTATCGAGTTAGGCAGTTTCCCAAGAGTTCATATAGATCCGTTGCTATTGGTACAACTTCATTTATGCCACAAATTGTGAAGCTTAACACAACACAATATTACCATCCTACACCGTATGATTACATCACTTGTCAAGTACTATAGTTTTCTTTAGCCTTCCCATATCTACACAGTTTTCATGTTTGTTATAGCTTTGAAAGCAAACACATTTTCATACATACAATTAATCGTCAATTAATATTCAATGAAACACTATTAACATGAATGAATAGCTTGAGGAAAATGGTATGATGGAAGCACCAACTGCTTACACATTGGTGTCGGTCTTTAACTTTGCCTTATACCCCAAGTTAAGCCGATTAGCTCATTATTGATTGGTTTATTTACATGAAAGATATAAAGAATGAAATGTAAAGTGATTGAATGGAAATATATAATGTAAACTGAAGAAATTGAATGACAAGAAATGTAATTTGCAAAGGAAGTAACAAATTTATAGGAATTGGAAAACACTGAAAATATAATGTACTTGAAAACGTAAAGAGAGAAAATAAATTGCAGAAAGTAAGTTGCAACTAAAGTGACTAAAATGAAAAATAAAAGACTTAAATTTCTATGAAACTAAAAAAGTGGGTTTGTTCCCACTAAAGTCAATATCTTATGTTTTTTTTTTGTAAGAAGTGTTTTTAGGGACCGTTTACCAAACGTTTATCTGGGTAAGTGCTTACCCAGTCACATTACCTCACCTGATGAATATGGTAAGTACCAAGAATCTTAACCGGTAAGAATGAGACAAAGACCAAGAGTCTTACCCGGTAAGTGAGGGCGACGATTCTTATCACGGTAAGCGCTTACTGGGTACATTGTTGCATACGATGTCGTTTTGGTGGATTAAAATCTTACCCGGTAAGTAAATAATAGAGTTAAATTTTACCAGTAAGCACTTACCGGTAAGTGTTTGATAAAAGGCCACTTGGTCAAAAAGTAAGCATAATGATCTTGATTCCAATAGCCTTTCATAATCCAAATTCCTTCGTTAAACTAGAATTACTAAACTTTGAGGATAAGTCGGGACTTGAATGAGTTTTCTTACTTGTTGTCTTTTTCTTTTCTCATGTTGATGCATTTTACCCGAATCTCACACGTTTCACTCTACAATACAATTTTACTGATATGCATCTCTTTATGAGATTTTTGACATTTGGTATGACAGGATCGAGAACTAAAACTGTAGGTTTATTATGTAATAGGATTAGAGCTTTGTTATTTATTTTTTTCCTTTTGGCCTTTGCATTTGCTTTCAATGTGCATTGCATCAAGGGCGAAACTATGAAGGTTGATCGGGGTCCCGTGTACCCGCTCCACTAATTTCTACAAGTAGAATTTTCTATCGAGTATAAAGGTGCAATCGCTAAAACTGAGCGGTGCTCCAAGAAATTGGAAAATATAAGGAACATCAACCCCAAAAACTGGAAAAGTCCCTCGAAACAACAAAAAAAGTTCATCAAAACCAACCAAAAAACTTTAAAAAAGAATCCCTTGGAATCAACCAAAAAGCTTAATATCCCTCAAAATGACAAAGTTCGGCTAAAAACACATCATACAACTTTACTGGCGTTTAATCCCCCTTAAAGGTGCACTCGCTCAACAAAGATCATGCGTTCGCTACTGCATGCATATGAGCCCCCCCCCCCAAAAAAAAAAAACTTAAGAAAGACAATATTCTCATTGGCTATTTTTGAGAAGGCAATAAGACTGGTCTAAACAGTAACAAAAAGATCGCCACATATCACCCAAAGCCCATTTGAAAAACCAGTTAAGTTATAAACCCAAAAAATGGTTGGTTAGTTCTAGTAGCTCAAAACATGATCACAAACTAATATGGAGCTTTAGATTATTGTGTCGATAGAAAAAATGTGAAAACTAAGAAACAAGTTATTTTATTGTCTTTTTGCATACTAGCCAAGTTGACACAAAAATCCCTAAAATCAAATCCCAGACTCAAGGCCTAAATATAATAAAACCTGCTTCTCTAAAGCATCAATATTCCAATTTTCTCTGATGATTAAGTAACGTTTGGTAAAAATCCCTTGCCTCTCTCATTCATATATCTTGAATATGTACAAAGCTTATAACCTATAAAATAGGAAGGTAAATACAAGGGATAATTACCATATTATCCCAAACATATCTATACAAAATATATGGAAAATATCTCGAAAATATATTCTCTATCACACCCCTGCAGTTCGAGCGGGAGGAAGTGGAACGCTCAAACTGGATCTAAAGTCAAGGAGAAGTTTCAAGGAAAACCCTTGGTTAAGATATCTGCATACTGGTAGGAAGAAAGGAACATGAAGGACGTGAATGTGACCCAAGGAGACATTCTCACGAATAAAGTGTATGTCCATCTCAATGTGTTTGGTCCGTTGGTGTTAGACCTCTAGATTAGTAGACGACAAATATATTGTTAGAATAAACAATAGTGGCTCATCGAGGGGGGTATTGGATCTTGAGAAAGAGGTTCCATAACCAACATGTTTCAACAACTACATTCGCTATGCCACGATATTCAGCCAAAGCACTCGATCGAGAGAGAGTTTCCTGTTGTTTGATGAACCAGGGAATAAGATTATGTCCCAAGAATACACAGTAACTAGATGTAGATCGTCGGGGTGTTGGGGGCTACTGCCCTAATCAACGTCCGTATAGGATATTAATCGGTTTGGAGCAGACAGGTAGAGAAGCAGTTCATGATCAAGAGTTCCCTTGAGGTAATAAATGATGCATTTAAAAGCATTAAAATATGGTTCCCGAGGAGAATGAATAAACATGCATACTTGTTGTACATCATAGGCAATGTCCGACCTAGTGAATGTAAGGTATTGGAGGGCACTGGCAAGGCTGTGACAGAGAGATGGTTCTTCAACTGGATTGCTATCATGAGCACTAGGTCTGGACTTCGAGTCAACTGGGGTGGGCATGATCTTGCAGTTTGCCATTTTTGCCCGATGAATGATGCTCTCGACATATTTCATTGAGATAAAAACATACTTTGTGGTATTCAAGTGAAAGAGACGCCCAAAATGTAACTCAACTGGCCTAAATCAGTCATTGCAAATAGGCTTTAAGGGCCCCAATGATTTTTGATTTCAACTTATCCGAAGAGGCTGCCAAGACAATATCATCCACATATAGTAATAAGTAGACAGTATCGGTATCTTTTGATAGTAGATAAATAAAAAATTGTCACTTTTGTTGCAGAGGAAACCAAGCTGCAAAAGGTAATTGGTAAAACATTGGTACCATGCTCATTGTGCTTGTTTTAATCCGTAAAGAGCCTTACAAAGTCGACAAACATGTCCCGGAGCAGATGGACTTACGAACCCGGTGGTTAATACATGACCTTTAGGTTTCCATGCATAAATGCATTTTAAACATCAATGTGGTGAATTGGCCAATTACGTCCCATGGAAATACTTAGGATGGTACGAATGGTGGCCGGTTTGACCACCAGGCTAATGCCTCATTACAATCAACCCCGACTTTTTGTGATTTCCCATTAACTACTAGTTGGGCCTTGCAGCGTTCAAGAGCACCATTTCCCCAGAATTTATGGCAAAATAGCCACATAAAACGAATAATGTTCACCCCCTGGCCTTGGAACAAGATCCTAGGTATGTTGTCTAATAAGAGCATTGTACTCATTCGTCATGGCGTCATTCTAACTTTGGTCAAGCATATCCACTTTGGGGTTGGATGGTAAGGGCAATATGGCTTGAGTGGTGAGGTTAATTTGGACTTTAGGTTTGAGTATGCCACCTTTAACTTGGGTTTACATCAGATGGTAGCTGTATGTAGAGGATGGGGTGATGGGGAAGGCTGAGGAGGGGAGAAGGGGAGGATGTGGAGATGAACGTAGGTGGATGGGGACTAGGGAAAGCTGTAGGTAATGGTGGTGTATGGGCCATAGTAGTGGGAGTGGGTGAGGAGGGGACAATAGATAATGTAAGGAGGAAGTGGATGCATAGAAGTGATGAAGGTGGTGGGATTGCCATGCATAGAATGGGTGAGGAAGGGGATAGTTCCGAGGAATCAAGAAAACGATAATTAATTGGGAAGAATTTGTGAATGGCAGAGAAGGGGATGATTATTTCCTCAAAACTGATATGACGAAATAAGAGGATTTTATTTATAAATAGGTCAAAACATAGGTACCCCCGATACTTTGGGGGATAGCCTAAAAAGACACAAAATGTGGATCGAGGGGTGAGTTTATGAGGGGTTATAGATGAAATATTTGGGTAGTAAAGGCAACCGAAGGTGCGGATATGTGTAAAAGTGGGGATCCATTAGAGAATTTCGATGGGAGTTTTGTTGTTTAGTTGCGTGTGGGAAGGATGTTGAGGGTGTAGGTGGCCATGGATAATGCGTATTTCTAGAATAAAGGAGGTAAGATGCATGGATGAGAGTGCTGCAAATCATTTACTAATGGTTCGAATGATTCGCTCGTCTTTACTGTTTTCAAAGGAAGTGTGGGGGGAATGAGAAACAAAAGTCCATGCCTTTTTCTGCACAAAATTTGTGTTAGTCAAAATTATTAAACTCTCGACCATTATCACATTGAAAGGCTTTTATGTCCTTATCTGTTGATCCTCTTTCTCAGTGATCTGATGATGATACTTTTTATCTTACGAAAAGTACTTTATCTTTATTCAGCTTCAGCGATCATCATTGAGTCTGTTTAGTGATCGTTGAACAAGTATTGTATTTCTCAAAGAGACAAGTATTCTTCATCCAGTGTATGGGACGCAAGACAAGTGGCCAGGACCAAGCCTCAAGGGTGGCACTCAACATTGGCGTCTCTGTCATACGTCAGCTGAAGATCAACTATGCTGGATTGATCTTTGAAGACCTAACGCTGAAGCTGAACAAGCGCCAGCGAGAAAATGTGGTACCTTACACCAGATTGTTGTGCATGATGTTTGCCAAAATCTTTGGCAACAAGTACCCCACAGAAGGCAACATGCCCATCTGCAGGCTTGGATCTCGAATCTTGGACCACAAGTCTAAACTTGGAGATGTTGGGCTTTAGTACCCATGATTGCAATCGCTAACGGTTCAAGTATGTCTTATTTCCCTTCTGCTTATACCCTGATGGTCATGACTGAGGCAAACCCCCCCCAGTGTATCCCAACCACCACATCCATATCCTCTAAGAGGACCTCCTCACAAACCCATCTTGGTCCTTCACTAAGGGCCAAGAAAGCCAAAAAAGAGCAAGCCAAGTCGCTGACTGTTACCTCTCAACATGTTTCAATCATTGAAACAAACCTTATCCCCAAGGTGCTCTCTCTGATACCTTCTCCAAGCTTTTCATTGATCTCTATAGACACTGTCGTACACGTGGATATTCACCCACCACCTCACCCAAATCACTTAAGGTAAGAATATCAACATTGCCACTGCTGAACACTCACAACCTCTCTTAGCCATTCTTTCTTCTCCTTCTCCATTGGTCTCGACACATGCTCATGACTCACCAGTGGTTGTCCCCACTGATGAAGAAGCACCCACCACAGGACCTGAGGTGACTCCTCTCGAGGTGCCTCAGTTACAGGATGCCTATCCTCACGAAGGCGAATTTGAGACAACCAGTATTAATCCTTTGGATGATGTTGATGACCCCTCAGGTATTCCATCTCCCTATCCTTTAATATCTTCTAACATAGAGCCCCTTGATGCTCAAGATCTTCCTTCTCTTTTAGGTCCTTCTGCTACAGAGCCCACAACCATGGAGACTGAGGTCTATGACATGGCTGAGGATGTTAAACTCCTCCTACCTGCTATGCCGACTGTCTTGGACAAAATGGACCAAGTCCACCAAGACATACCCACCAAGGAAGACCTCACCTCCGGCCCCTCTACTGTCAAAGCTGAGGTTAGCGAGGTGAAGAAACTGATGAAGACGGTGCAAGTCGATGTGCACACCAACACTGAGGCCATTAATGCTTTAAACAACAAGGCCGATGAAGTGCAAGTACAGCTCGTCAGGCATGGTGAGCTCTTGGAGCATATTCTAACACTTCTTCAACGTCCAGCCCCAATCCTTGAACCCTCGTTCACCGACACTGATCGCCAATCTACGGACCGAGTGACTGAATTCAATCTCTTAAAAGCTGAGGCGCTTTCAAACTCGAGCTTCACATAGAAGATCTATCTCAGCGTCTTAATGACCTCACTTCTTCTCTTGCTGAAGACAAAGACGGGTAGAAAGACCTACCTGCTGAGGAACCTGAAGCTGAAGTTGTTGTTGCTATTGAAGCTGAAGTTACTCATGCTATGATCCCTCAACTTGAGGATGCCATCAAATTCGATGACACTGAAGCTGATGCTGAAGTTGAGGATGAAGATGATGCCGTTATAGCTTCTTTTATTGATGAAGACCTTCCCATCACCTCTAAAGTAAATGTTGGTGACGAGGATAGAGAGAAAGAAGATGATGAAGACTTTTCTCTACATGATATTGGACGTGATCTAGGTGATGATGACGACTTCACCATATAATATCATACCAGGCCAGCACCAGCGTAGAAGGGAATCTCCCTTAGAGATGAAAGGATCCCCTTTATTCCAACATTTGGAGCTCTTTTTGACCAACATATGTCTCAGTTGAGGAAACATACCAACCAAACCAGAGTAAAAATTTCTCTTCGTACCTCTGGTTGTGGTGAGTTTGACTTTCTCACAGAAGCGGAACGAGAAGCTCTCAAGGCCAAGGAAGAGCCGCGCATACAAAAAAAGCAGATGGAAGACAACTTGAAGTTGGCCAAGTCTCTTGCAGTCAAAGCTCTTGCCAAGGGAAAGCTGAAGAAGATGAATCCCTTCAAGGCCCAGGCTCAGTTGCTCTCCCAAGATGAACGAGAACACCAGAGAGCACTGACGCTGAAGGACCACGATCAAAGATGGAGTGAAAAGAGCTTGAAGAAAAGAATAAGTCCCCATCGAATTTCAAACATCACTAATAATGAACGGATGAAAGATGGTGAAATGCTCATCTCCAGAGACAACCTTGAAGCAGTCACCAAGTACCCTTCGTATCTCGAGCAGTATGGCCATGATGAATGGATAAAATATCGCCAAGCCATCCAACGCTCAAAGTCCAGGCATCAAAAAATAATTGAAGAGATCCTGAATGATCCCAACAAGAAGGTGTCCGAGTTCGTTGTTGTTCCTCTAGTGCCTGAGTTGCTGTCCAAAAGAAGAAGGAATCCTTCAGATCCTAATGATGGACCTACTCTTAGGAACGAACATGAAATTAAATTCTCCTTAGAGGAAATACTAAAGGATTCAAAGAAGCCAGATATCTTTATGTTGAATCTGACTCTGCCAGCGAAGGGTCCTTACATACCCAACACTGTGTATTTTAAGAGGAGTATGGATTAATATTTATCGACCATGACGGTGAGTACAACTTCCAACGAGTATCTGAGTTCCGCCTCTGTACAATAGACCACCTTGAATATCTCAGATCTTGGTTGGACAATGACCTACCTGATAAGGCGATAGACCGCAGGATCAGAAAGGAGTATCTACATCGAAAGAAGCTTGAAGAAGAAGTACCAGGGTACATCAACTTCAGCGACTTAGAATAGTTAAACTTTATATCTTGTAATCTTGTTTTTCTTTCATCTCTTTCAGTGTATAATCTATATTAATAGGTGTAGCAATTACTGATGTAACACTTGTACTTTTTGCAATAAATAATATAAATATTCTTCAGCGTCACTGAAAAAGATCCCTGAAAAGAGTAATAGGGAAAAATATCTATGAGTTACAGTTTACTCTTCCATAAGCTGACAACTTTCAGTCAGTGAATACGCTTTCAGTTTCCGTTATCATACTTGTATTTGTTTCTCTTGAACTTGTAATCCTTTACAACTTAAATAAACTTTATAAGAAAACTGTATCACTGAAAAAGATCCCAAAAATAGTTAAAAGGGACTTGTATTTTACTTGTACCTTTAGCAATTTTCTTTATGTTGCTTTGTCATCATCAAATAGGGGGAGATTGTTGATCCTCTCTCTCATTGATTTGATGATGATCCCTTTTACTTTACAAAGTATAGTATTTCTGTTATTCAGTTTTAGCAATCTTCACTACGTCTGTTCAGTGATTGCTGAACATGTATTGTAACTCCTTCAGAGACTGTTATACTTCAAGAAGACAAAACTCACACCACATATCCTTCAGCAATGTCAAAGACAGAAACTAAAGATTAGAGACCAGAGCGTTCGTGATCTAAAGCGATATTCAGTTATTACAAGCTCGTTGAATTATGTATGAAGTCTGCAAAGTTTCAGCAAATGCTGAAGAGACCCTCCAGCGTCATCCAACATTCAGCGATCAAATGAAGCTTGCCAAACACGATTGCTTTTGTCTTGTCCTCCCTCACATAAAGGACAAGCCCATACATTTTATAGATTATAGTACATTACGAAGCCACTCTGTTGACTCTATAGTGCTTACCTACTTTATGAAAAGAGAACTGCTCATATACAACCAAAAGGACTATTTACCGTAGCAAAGGATAAGCTTTCCTCCAAAAGCTTGGCATGTGCTTTGTACCTTCTGAATTGCATTATATGCAATGAGTATAAGTAGCTGAGTGCTCTCATCTCAGCTATCATCTCTTCTACTAAAAACTTACCAAGAAGTTACTTCTCTCTACTCTCTCATCCTAAGAGAAAGAACCACTTAGAACAAGTGAAGATCACTTACATTCTTATTTTTATTTCTTGTAGCAAATCTTTTCTCTTTGCTATTTGTATTTATGTGAACCTTAGATTGTTTAGATAGGTTCTTTATCTTATCTCTTCTACAAACAATTTGTAAAATTTGTATTGATCTTTTTCAATATATAATTTTTAAAAGTGAAAGTTTTCGTGTTTGTATTCATCACCCCTTCTACAAACTGATTACCTATAACTCTTGTAGATCTGGCTGGGACCAACAGTTGAAAAATAGCATCAAGGGTGAGAGGTGGAGTGTCATGAGAGCATTGGATGAAGAAAACAGATAGAGGTCCCCTACATTATTGCATCTCGTAATAATTTTTCCCATATTGAGATCCTTCATAGAAAACCAAAAGGATCAAACTCAATAGACACATGATTATCGTGAGTGAATTTGCAGACGTAGATTAGATTTTTGACAATGTGTGGTGCATGCATTATGTGTTTTAGATTGAAAAGTGGGTCTGGTGGTGGTGTAGTGGTGTTTCCATAACCATGGATTGGAATGTGATTACCATAATCGACAAGAGTAAAGTTAGGTGTGCTCAAATTAAATAGCTTAGGAAGTATATCAGAAAGTGAGGTGAGAAGTTGCACCCGTATCCATGTACCAACTACTATCAGGTTGCCGAAGACCCATCATGCAGAAAGCATTGCCTAATTCTGTAGGCGTCATAAGAGGCCCATATGAAGATGGAGAGGTGGGGACGAGAAGCATTTGTTGCTAATGAGCCGTTGAATGAGTTGTTGGACTGGGACCTAGGATGCCCGATTATGGGTGAGTAAAATGTAATGTAGAGGTTGGTTTCGTAGGGTAAGGACACAGAGGTACTACCCACTGACCAAGGGACGACCAAGATGGTGTGGGGTTTGCCCAAGGAGGTGTAAGTTGCCTTGAATATCCTTGAGAATATCGGTTGCGTCCACGACCTTGGCCCCCTCTCCATTGTTGTCGACCATGACCTTTGTCACCCCTTTGTCTGCTATTTTACAATTGCTAGTTAGCAGGTGGCGGAGTCGTTGTGGGGCTTGTAGTGACCAAATTCATTACGAGAGCCATGGTCCATATTGATTGTCCTCTTGGTCGAGAAGAAGCGAGAGGAAATTTTGATATGACAATAAACGTAGAATGAAAAGTGCTCTAGGTGGTTTGGGTGGGAGTTTTGTTAGTCTTTTATGCGTCTCCTACCATGGGCGGTTGCCGAAATTTAGAGAAAGGTTGTAGGATATAGGATTTCAGAGAGGAAGAGAAACGAAGGAGAGGAATTTAGAAGAGCTCTGATACCATAAAGTTTGGTGAAAATCCCTTTCCTCTCTCATTCATATATCTTGAATATATACAGAGCTTACAACCTATAAAATAGGAAGGTAAATACAAGGGATAATTACCATATTTTCCCAAACATTTCTCTACAAAATATATGGAAAATATCTCAGAAATATATTCTCTGTCATTAAGTCCATGTGATTCTCATATTCCAGCCAAACAATTCTCTCCATCTTCAGCTATTCTACATCTTATTGCCTTGCTCTGAGCTTAGGCAATACATTTGATTAATAAATATTACTACAATGATTGATTTTTGTGCATATACACTAACACAATATGCATCATGAATTGTAGTTTTGTGATTTTGACTTGTATGTCCTTTAAATCGTGAATCTTGCATGGTCGTTTGTTGATTTTTAGTACAAAACATGTTTGCATCTCGAGATTTGATGTTGTTAGATCTCAATTCTCTCAATCTATGGATAGATGTAAGAAAATTAGTGTTGAGGAAGACGATCTATTCCTTGGGTTATGAAGAATTCATAAACAACTTTGAATGATCAAGAACAGTTGGTAACCATCATCATCTTCATTGATATTTGAGAGAAAAGCTTTGATTACAATTGCACATTGAAATGGAATTACACACAGTAAGTAATCAAAGATTGCGTGAAGGATTTCTAACAGAATGCAGTTGAACAGCTATATATAACCTTTGAGAGAACAAAGTCAAAGCACTAATAAATCATAATTTGCCATGTGTAAAGTTGAATAATTATCTCTATGTGGCATGTCCAATCAAGAGCCTCCATATGTCAGTTTGTTAGGCAAGAGTTGACTGGACAAGAGCTAATGACTTGAGCATTCCATCAATAGCTGAAGACCAGAAGGGGTTCTAGAAAGGCTATTTTTATAGACCAGAGGGACTCTTCATCAGTAGTTAATTATCAAGTTAGGCATCTCTGGTTTATCTTCATTGAGTCTCTAGTCTTCAGCACTTGAACATTTTACAATATTTTTACAAATAAGAATTCGGGGGTCTAACAGATGTACCTGGCAATTCGAAGCATAAGAGGAACCTTTGAAGTCAATAAGTAATAAGTGGTATATTGGCATATTGGGGGGGGGGGGAGATGAAAGAAATAACGGATTAATCCTGGTACTTTAGGCATTATTTTTTATTTGTTACCCGTCTACCTGATAATTAAAACAAGATTATACAACTTTTTTTTATTCAAGTTTTACCTTCTACTTACATTATAATGAAATTGTAAGATGTCTAAAATGTATGAGCGTCCTATGATACTTTATAGCACTTAAGTTTATTCGACCAAACTATAAAGTGTCTTATTTAAAAGTCTTACAATAGGTTTATAGGACGCTTTTGGGTATTTTAACAAGTTTTTAAAATGTTTTTAAAATAAAGTGTCGTACTAGCTATATTATCCAACAATTTTGAGAAATATCCTATAAACCCATCTTTTATATGCCACTTGTGCTCAGTGGCGGATCCAGGAATTTTATACACTAGAGTCACTTAAACTAACAATGTACCAACACATCAATCATTATAATTAATAAGAAGTTGATTTCTACGAGTTTTCATCATTTGAAAACAAGTCATTACATCTTGATTTGTAACCTTAGCAAGTACTTCTTTTTCTACGACACAAATGACACACGCATTCAAAAAAACGTCACAAATTCGATTGCGCAAAGATGGCTTCTCAAGCTTCATTACCGAAAAGCATCTCTCAACTGTTGCGGTTGCAACAGGCAAAACCAATGCAAGCTTCAATAATCGATAAATCAAAGGACACACAAGATGTTTCCTTGTTTCAATCATCACTCTACCGGGCTCGGATATACCTTTCAAATTAGCAAATAATTCATCATGTTGGACAATGTCAATATATAGTTGAAGTTGGTGCTCAAGGGTAGTTCTTTTGTCATTGCTAAAATCATCAGAATAAAACTCTGTCAACCTTAGTAATTTTGATGGGTCAAAGTTACAAAATGAGTAATGAGGATCCAAAGCGGCCATACAAGTGAGCAATTCGGAACTTACCTCATCAAATCTGTCACCAAACTCTTGAATTTGCATATCCATAACTGTGTTAAAACATTCGTACTTGTAATAATGTCGATATGTGATATTTGTCTTGTGTCTTCGATTTTTTGGATTGACATAAACTTTGTAACATCTCGCTTGAGCAAACCCCAATTTACGAATCTTATAAAATCTCAAATAAAATATAATTTATTGATTATTAGGACCAAAAATTGATCCTAATTATTCTGAAAGTTTTGYCAAAACCATCAGGGCCAAGGATGGAAAATCTGAAAATGTTGCTGAAACAACTAAGTTTGGAAAAAGACCAGAGGCGAAGCATTGGTT